TACTTAATATAATTTTTTATAAAATTAAATATAAAAAAAAATTACCATTAGGTTTATATATAATTTTAAACTATTACTTTTTATTCTTAAATATATGTAAAGAAGATATAACTAGCCAGGTCACTAAACTTACTAGAAGAAAAGAATACAGAAGTATACTATACTAGGCAATCTGGATTGGTAGTCTACAAGAGACTGTCAGTTCTGAGTTGTAGTTAGTAAGAGATGATGAAGAAGATATCAGAAAGATAAATATTGGAGTTCTAGTAATCTTTATAAGAGTAGAAATAGTGTAATATAGTGGTTAAACAGATAACTTTCATGACTGCAAATGTTAAATAACTATAATATGTTGCATAAAACTAGGTCAGTATATGTGAGATATATAGGCTCTAGTAAGTTTCCTGTCAAAGATAAAGTAGTTCTAAAAGTACTAACTAGCATCAAGAACTTTGATAGATATAGCTTTAAAGATGTTTTAATAATACAAAGAGGATTGCATATGCAGAGAGTTTAAATAGGCAAGACCTCTAGTTGGCTTGCAGATATGGCATTTAGTGTAAAACTTATATAGTAATATATAAGAAAACTACTTAAATTAGATATCAAAAGTGCATGTATAGCTAGTTGTAATCTTTATTGTAAGGTAACTCCTAGTAGCATGCCATGTTCTATATATTTGAATAAAAATGTCACATTTCGAAAATAGAGACTTTAAAAAAAACAAAAACAATGTATATAAATAAAAGTAAAACTAATTATATATATAACTTTAGTCATTATCTAATTAAAAGTTTTACTTATAGACTACTCACTAAATGCTATATCTGAGACCTGTTTGTGAATTTTTCATTTAAAATTTCTGATTTTCAACACTTATATTGTATATATATACAATATTTACATTAGTATTATAGTAACATATCAGGTTAGAACTATCTTAGTAAGGATGGTAATCCTAGTATAATGGTTGAGTTGTCATCCTTCAAGCAGTAGGTCTAATGTTCAATTTTTATTGGTGACAGATTTTGAAAAGATGGTCCTATTCTGGCAAACTTAATTGTGATCTAAGTGTTGTAGATCTTGTAATTCTGATTATATCAAGACTAACTTTGAAAATATGCAATGTTATATAAATAAATCTAAAAAATATATACTTAAATTAGAAGCTTGCTTGGAAATCCTAAGCAGAGAGATAGTACAACTTTTGATAGTGCCACTTATGAAGATCTTGATCTAAAGAAGAAAACCTGAAGCAGGTAACCTGTATAAGCAAGAACCTTTAAGTAAAGAGTCTACTAACTTGACTATTAGTTAATCCAGGCATGAAGTCACATCATGCAGGACTAACTGAATTAGTAGTATAAAAGGATTTACAAGAATAAATGAGATATTAGTGAGGTTGTAAAAGAAGGGTACTAGAGTTATATGAACTTCACAAGAGTTGTAAACTAGGTTTAACTATAAATTATAATACAAAAGACTCTAGTAACAATGTTTTAAGAATAATCTGCATAAAATAAGACAGAGATCCTAAGGATATAGGTATGCATTTAGAACTTCTTAACTGATATTGTATAACAGAGATGTTCTAGTAATACAGTAAGAATTATAGTACAAAAGGTTTAAATAGGCAACATTCATAATTAGATTGCAAGTATGACAACTAGTATAAAACCTATATATCAACAGACTACTTAAATTAGACACCAAAAGTGTACATGTGACTAGATGTACTCTTTAATATAAGGTAGCTCTTCTAAGATAATCGAACCATGAGCTACTATGTCCTATTATACTGAATAAAAAAACTCTAGTCTCTAAAAAACTAGTTTAATTATAAAAAAAAAAAAAACTATTTTAGTTACTATTTATATCAAAGTATCACCTTATTAGATGTTACTAAGTATTTATATTCCTTTAAATTTACCCTTAATGCAAGCTTACTAAGCTAATACTAAGATTATTACTTAGATCCAATTTAGTATATCTCATATCTACTAAACTAGTTTTAATGCCAAAAATATTCAAATTTCAGTAAGTTCATTCCTTTTTTGTAACTTTCTTTTATGTTTATTATATCATTTACTAATGCATCTTTTCTTCATTTTTGATATATTTACTGCTTTTTTCACATTAAGTGCCAACTTTTCATATTGAGAAACTTTTTTGTATACTGATTTTCTATTTACATGAATTTAGCTACAGAGTTTCACATATATTCATATGCTTCCATAGATAACAAAGTTTTTGCTTTTAGCTAGAATTAAACTGTTAACCTTGTCTGTAAAGAAAGGGTGCCTAGACCACTAGACTACAGAACTTTATTCCACAAAATATTCTTTTATTGGCATATTTAAATTGATATAAATTAAATCTTTTATATTTAAAACAATTATGAATTTTTTTAAACCTATAAAAAATTGATTTTTTAATCTAATATTATTAATATTAATCATCTTAATTTTTTACTATTAACTAAAAAATCTGATTTTTTATTTCTATTAACTAAACAAATTTTGGTATCATCTCTGTTATTATTATTTTTATTATTATCATTTTTATTACTATTATTTTTGTTATTATTATATTTATTATTTTTTATTTTTATTACTATTATATTCATTACTATCATCTTAATTATCTTTATTTTTATCTTCATTATTATACATATCTTTAAAATTTTTAAAAATAAAAAATAAATACTTTAAAAAAAAATTAACCAATTAAAACAAATAAAACAAAATTATATTGTAATATAAGAAGAATGTAAAACATTTAAGCAATCTGATACTTTTTTATTAAAACTAATACTGAAATATCTTGCTTCATGCTTATTAACTACTAATGAGAATAAAACTGAAAAAACTTCATAACAACCAAAAAAGAAATCCATACTATTTGTTTGACTTCTTACTAATAATAAATTATTAAAAACATTGAAAAAAGCAAACAATTTAACAAAAAAGTAAGTTGAAAAAACTAAAAGAAAAAAAGAAGTAATTGCTCAAAAGAGAGCCAAGTATAAATTAAAGAAAAAACGCAAAAGCAAATAATGAATCAAAAAACAAAAAAAATATGATGTCTAAAATATTACTGTTACTGTTAAGTGATTTGTAAGATAGTCTTGCTGATTTTTTTGGAAATGATCCGCCAAATGTAAAGTTTTAATTTTCGATGTTCTTAAATGAATAATAAAATAATGTAAAAATTACTAGCAAAGTTCTTTTTTTATAATTAATTTAAAGTACATTGGATGGAGTATAAGTCTTATAAATTTTATAAATATCTTTTTTTTTGAAAACTTTTACTAATAACTATTCTTAACCGTGCCCATTATACCTCCAGTTACTTTATAAATTAAACTAGTTTGGCCTAAAAAATAAATGTGATTACATAAAATGTGATTATATGGGAGGTGACTATATGGAGGGACGACTGTATAAATTGAATTCATTTGCAACTTTGTTTTTATAGTTGTATTTTTATTAGTTAGAGCATTGGCCTTGTTTAACGCAATTTCTCTACGATTTATTCCAATGAGCAATTGAATCCCTCAAAATATATTCATTTCTTATCGTTATGTTAATAACCTTTAAGTTAATTCTATTGTCTAACATATTTCCTTCAATTTCTAATACAATTACAATATGAAACATGCATATACAAATTACTAGTAAATGTCGGACGGAATAGACCGTTAATTTAATAACATGAAATTTATATGCCATACATGCTTCTTGTATTATCTCTCGCTGCTCTCATAATTACGTCAATTTCTTTTTGAGTAATTTCAGCAATTTTTTGCGCTACAAAAGGAATCATACCTGAATGAGATACAGTAACCCTCTCGTTTGTTCTCTTGTTTCTATTGAGCTTGGCTGGCGTCATATATGGAGCATCTGTTTCGAGTAGTATTCGATTCAAGGGAACGACAGATCTTACTATTTCTTGTGTATTTTTAGCGGATCCATAAGTAACAACACCTGTGATGCCAATATAAAGATTTGGAAAATAGTCCAATAACTTTTTTGCAAAATCAGGGGAATCTGTGAAACAATGCACATGAATCTTCCAATCTTTAGGAACATGTTTAGTTAAAATGTCCCATGTATCTTCTTCAGCTTCACGGGTGTGAATCACAAGAGGCTTTTGTAGTTTTTTTGCCTGCTCTATTTGTCGTATGAAAACCTGCCTTTGCATATCTCTCGGCGAGTTATCATAATGATAATCAAGTCCGATTTCACCTAATGCCACAGTTTTAGGATGCTGAAGAATTTTACACATTTGAGCCTCGATGTAATCATTATAATCTTTTGCGTTATGCGGATGAACACCGGCAGAAAGATACATAAATGGTGTTTCTGCCATAACTTTCCAATCCATGTACGTTCCAGGAAATACTTCATCGCTACTGAATGACAAAGGATCGCATAGCACGTTAATGCAAGCTTCCAGATTAGGAGGGCAATAACGTTCTTTGAGAATCTGAAAAGTTTCTACACCGAATGTATTAGGAAGACGTTCGAGAGTATAGTGTAAATGAGTGTGAGTGTCAACGAAAGGCTCGGTAGTGAGAGCTGATAGTGTCTGTACGTCTGGAAGAGTTGTTGAAGTTTTTTTAGAGGATCGATTTTGTCCATTTTGTATGGTGGGTGACGTATTCCTTTGCGTCATGCTATTACTAATCTTACGTAAATTATATTGATATGAATGCAATAAACTTTGAATATAGAGAACCCTGTTAAAGGTTTTGATCATATGCAGTGTTAAAAGAAACGTAAATTCGGAAGCCTAATTTTTTCTGATTGGATGCATAAAATATTATCACTGATTGGACAAAAAATAGATTACACAACAATTAAATTGTATGAAGTTTTTCGGTAACCTTCAAATCACAACAAACAATATGTTTTTCTTTGGTCATGATGTCAGATTAGAATTTGTAATCAACTTCGTCCAATCAAGAACCTGTAAATTCGTCGATTTGTGTAATGTGACACAGATCACGAATCATCGTTATTACTGTATTAACCAATTTAATATATATAGAATACATAACGATAAACTATATACCATAAAACCTTAGCGTTAGTTCATGTTCAAAATCACTCATTTGTACTTTGAAAGAATGCATGGATAGAACTATTCATAACGTATTTTAAAAATAAGTAAAAGTATTCTAACTGCCAGGTGTTCAAATTATAATATATGCTATATAGCGATTAATAACTATTAATCGTTACATGTTGATTTAACAACTGCCTACCAAGAAACAAACATTTCCGATGTCTCGCATGAATTCTGGTGTTCCGTCGAGAACAACTCAAATGACTTTGAAAGAACAAGAACGAGTAAATTTCTTATTATATTATCTTTGCCTTATGTTTCATAATCTACTCATTCATTCAACTTCATAGGTTGTTGATGAGATCAAAAAGGAAAATTTTGGTTTAAAGATGAAAGTGTATTTTTTAGAAGAGCGATTGAGTAAACTCGGTCCAGATGAAATGGTAATTATAATGTGTATACTCATTGATCATTGTTATGATCATTTTACTAATTAAAATTCTTTTAAATTAGGAAAGGGCTTTAAAAGAGGTTGGAGAATATATGTAGTGTGATAGTTATTATTTTATCTGACATAAGCTTCTTTTCAATTACTTTTATAAATTCCTTTCGGACTTTACATTCATCCTTGGATCACTTCTTTATAGAATGTAGACATAAAGATTCAAAATCATGATCTTAAAATTGAATTGAAAGAATACAAGAAATTACTATTAGAGTCCGATAAAGCTATACAAACTCTTCAACAAAATGGTACCGGCTGTCTTTTACAGCATGGTATGTCACCAGCAGAAGAAGTTGCTTATCATAGAGCTATTAATCGGGCCGAAGAGCTTAGTCAGGAAAATGATCGCATTCAACGCAAACTCGCTGAACAACAAGGTGAAATTAAACGCCTTCATGAATTAATCAAGATAACAAGGCCTGAAATTAATTTTGACGATGAGGCACCATTAGATTTACTTGATTCAAGTACTGAAAATCAACAATTAAAAGAATTGATAAATCGTGACAACCGCCTGTCCGGTGATCAAAGTACTAAGATTGCAATGTTGAAGGAGACGTTGCGTAAAGAAAGAGATGAGAAGCATGCTATTTCACTTGAGGCTGAACGACTTCGGCAACAGATACTTGATCTTAAAAATCAAATGTCTGAATCAAATGTAGAGTTAAAGAGGCTTCAAGAAGCTGCAATGAAAAATTCCAATTTATTAAGAAAAGGAGAGTTGGAAAGAGATGATGAAATAATTGATGATTGGGACGTGAGCAGAAAAATAAATGATGCTGCTGATAAAGCAAGGCAAGATGAGGTTGAAAAACTAAAAGCGGTAGGTTACTTGCCAACTACCGTTTAAATATGTTTGAATTTGTGTTTGAATATTCCATAATCAAATCTATAAATTACTCTCATTGAATATAAATAGCAAATTACCAATCTTAACAAGCAGTTGGCTTCCCGAACAAATGAAAATGATGATTTATACTCTGAACTAGAGATGATTAAAGGTCCCCTTAGCTCTACTTCGTCTTGTGGAGATATTTCTTCACGCTTCCTTAATGGAGAGTTTAGTGAACAATACGAAGAGGTGTTTAAATTTACTTTAGCATACTAATTCATTATATGAGAAATGTCTATAAAATAATTCAACTCGTTTTTTACTTTTAAAACTTTGATCAACTTATTCTTTGCCAAAATTGTTTTATTAATTTCTCCATATTTAAACGTGTTCCATACGTTTATAGAGTCTCGGTCATTTACGTGACAAAGTAGCAGAGCTGACACTTCAACTCCGTGAAAAGTCCATGGAAGTCGATCAACTGGTAGTAGAACTGGATAGAAACACGTTGGCACATTCTACTTCAGTTCAAGATTTTGAAGATGACATGGACAGAATGGAATGTCAATTCCAAGAAGAAATTGCTTTGTTGAGAGATGTGAGCAATTTATTAAGTATTTTCTGGTACAAAAAAATTTTTTTTGAGTATTTATTTTCTTGAACTTATTCAAAGCAATTGGATGAACTACAAAATGAAAATGAACAATTAACATATGAGCTTGATGCATTGGATCGTGTTTGCCAAGAGAACGATATGCGTTACGAAGAATCGAAAGGTCAGATAGAAAATCAACAACGTGAGATACTGGAATTATCTCAATCAGTTGAGAAGGTAGACAGACTATTTATCATACTTTATAAAGCCTTTAAGATAATTAACTAATAGCAAAATGTATTACGAATTCATTAGTATCAAACTGAACTAGAAAATAAATCAAAGGAGTTGATAAACTTGACAGAATCCTTGAAAAAGGTTCGTCTTATTTAGGCTTGTATTTTCTTAGGTTATAAATGATAATTTAAAACCCGTATAATATAGTCCAAAACCCAGTTAACCAGTATGGAACAAGCCCTTAATGAAAAGGGTATGGAAATAACTGAACTTCAGTGTCAATTAGAAATTAAAATTAAAAGGTTAGAATCCGATGAGAAATTACACGAGAGTGTTGTTTCAGACTTGAAAGAGGTAAAATATCGATTTTATAGATATTTAATATAGAAATTATGTATTGACATTTTTACGAATTTGTTTTATTCAATTTAGGAAGTTCGAGACAAAAATTCTACCATTGATGAACTAAGAGCACAAGTTGCTTATCTCGAAAATAATCTTACGCAGGAGAAAAAGGTATTCACTAATCTTTACATAATATAAATTACATTAATGAGTGTTTTCTAAATATATTTTTTTTAGTCTACCTATTCGAACGAGACTCAATATCGCGATCAAATTATCGAACGTAACACGTTATTGATGACTACATATCAATATCTGGATGATATACTTTCTGACGGAACAAATAAACAAGTTTGTAGATGTATTGCTTTGGTTTTTCATTTATATGATTTTACTTAAGTTATCGTTATCATTAGTCCACCTATCCGAAACCATCTGCCAATTTCAAAATATTCCACGAGCATCTATTATCGAAACTTAAAGCTTTAAGCAACACTTATAACATGTTTGACCGTAGAGTGAAAGAAATAGATAATCGTTGGCAAGAACAATACGAGTTTGTATCTACTTTGTCATAAAACTATACTGTATTTTTGTTTTATAATTTATTCAAACCGTATAATTTTTCGATATTCAGATCTCTTAAGAATCAAATGGATATAAAACTACGCTTACTAAATAGATTTGAAGGAATGATCAATAAGGCCGCTATTGCTCAGAAAGATTGGAAAGAACAAGCAAAAAAAAATCAAAGCGAACTTGATGCTGCCAAAGTATTTATTATAAATTGTTTGATTATTTTTTTTAACTGCGCTTACGTAATATTATTCTTATAGAATACCAATGATGAGCTCGTTTATCAGCTTTCAACTTTGCGAGAGCAACTTGAAGACTATAAAGTGGTTAGTACTCATGCCGAAGAACTTGAAATTAAACTCAGAACAACAGAATCCAGAGTTAAAGAATTAGAATACAGGGAAAAACAGGCAGAGGAAAGGCTCAAGGTTGAAAAACAAGGTGCCAAAGAAAAAGCTGAATCTTTGATTGAAAACATTAAGTATGTATCTTTATTTCTTAAAAATTTTTATTGCGATTAAACTTTATTCAATGTTTCTATCTGACTTTAATTAATATGTAGGGACATTGAAGCTCAACTGCAAGCCCAGAATCGTAGGAATGCTCAATTGCAGGAAATGATTTCTATGCAAAAGGCCTCAATGGAGGAGGTAAGTATCGCTTAGTTTGGCCTATGGCTGTTGTCTGCATTGAAATCTAGTGTCAAATTTGCTGCCATAAAGTTGCAGAATGCATTCGTATTAATTTAGTGTATATATATACTCAGGCAACTAACGAATCAAAAGTTAGGGCAGCTAAAGTAGAAAACACATTTGCAATGTTAAATGAACAGCTTCGCGAACAATTAGAGGAAAAGAACAAAACAATTGAAAATGAGAGACAGAGAGTTAAACATTTGGAAGATCAAGTGAGATATTACATTATGAATTCAACTTTGTTATTCTTGTATCTGAAAGTATGTACTTATTTTGTAATGACAACTTTCGATCCACACGCAAATAGTTTTCTTGTATGCTTGAAGAACAAAAACGGTTGCATTTGCAGATTGAAGGGAGGGAAACCATGATTAGCAGAGTTCTAAATGGTTTACAGGTATGTGTAATTTAAGTTCTTTATCTTTCATTTAATTATCATTAACAGATGTTTGAATTCAGATGATCAACCAACGCAAAGATGTGATAGAAAATGCAGCATTGAAAAATATTACAGAGGATATGCAAATTGCGCTTTCACTTGATCGTAAACCTTCTTACCAACCTCCCGTCAATATTAATCCACCTTGGAAACCAGCTGGCAATAATCTCAGTGTAGCCCATTCTAAGAAAACTACGGTGAAAACTCTATCGACTAAATCATCCATTCCCGTCTCTTCGAAATCAAAAGGTGTAAATTCTACTAAATCATTAATACCGACACCTAGTGAAAAGACGGCAAACGAAAAATCTTATTTCAATAAAAGTTGAAACAAGTTTTCACGTAACATCTTTCATTATTTTTAAAAAGCTATACTGTACATGTTAGAAGTTTAATAATAAACTAGGCAAATACGCATTAACTAATTTCTCCCCACAGCTACTATCGAAAGCGTTTATTTACTTATTCAACAATCAACGACAGTCATGAGGAAAAAATTACGTGTAACGTGAAATTGGAATTGATCCGGAACTATGAACATTTTTTAAGCAGTTAAACGGCTCCAATCTTTATTTCGTGTAAAGACAATTTTTTTTGCCAAATTTAATGTACATTCTATTTTGCTACTACTTTATATTTATATTGCGTGATGTTGAAGCTACTAAATATGAGATTTTACACTATTAATTAAAATTTACGTGTTATAGTAAAAATTTTGTATATACGTATTTGTAATAAAAATAACCTGAGATCAAATATAGTATAAGTTACCCTTTTTCTAAAAAAAATATTAATTATATAACGAAATCAAATTTTTTTAAAAAAACTCCAATATCTTTATGAAATTGCTTTTGGGATTCTAATAAAAAAATTTTTTGGCTAAAATTTGCATATATTAATGTTAAAATATTAGATTTAAAGTAAATCAAAATTATTTTTGTTTTATATACAAATTTGTAAATTAAATATAATTATGTACTGTAATGTATCATGCACTAAATATTAAAATTTTTCTTTTTTTTTAAAAAAAAATATTAAGGTGAGTACTTGTGATCCAGGATTTTATTAATAATACATTTAACTAATAGTTGCATTACAATTACAGAGGGCAATTGTAGAAAGAGTGTATAATTATTATTTGTACAATTTTAGTTATTGTCTAATTTAAGTAGTTTGTTTAAAGGTTTTATACTAGTTGTCATAATTGAAATCTACTTGTAAGTTTCTTATTTAAATGTTCTAATTTTTGTATTTACCTGCTTACTTACACTTATTAATAATTCTAATCAATATTAGTAAAAATATAATATAATTATTAAGTTTTTAAGCAGTTCATTTATATAAGAAACCTTTAATCTTGTATTAAATTTTTTAAAATCTTTTGTATTTTATTCTTATAACTAACTTAATAATATTATAAATAAAACTAATATTTGTAATTAGAACATATTATTAAACTGTTATGCTTTTGTAAAATTTATTCTAATCTTATATTTATTTTACAATATATTTTTATTACATTAGTATTTAATTTAAGTTTTATTAAGCTCTTATATTAGTAAAATAAATATGCAAAATATTGCAAAAGATTTTGTATATTAAAAAACTTTAAAATAACTGCAATTGATATGAAATTATTTTGAAATAAAATAATTTCACAATATTATTAAATAAATAAAATAATTTTAAAAAAATTTATTTTGAAAAAATTTAAAAATTAATAAAACTAAAAAAATCAAAAATATATTATAAAATATATTTAAAATATTTAAAAATATTTCAAAATATTTTAGAAATAATAAAATAATTTTAAAATATTTCAAAATATTTAAAAAAATTTTAAAATATTTCAAAAATTTTAAAATAATTTTGAAATATATTGAAAGTTATAAAATAATTTTTATTAATAAATTTATTTTATATTATTTGAAATTATTGTTTATATATTTTAATATATTTAATAATCTTTTTTTATTTAATTATTTATTAAACAAATTTAATTATTTTTAATTTATATCAACTTTATTAATTGATTTAATATATCAAATATAAATAAAAATAAGTAAAAATAAAAAGAAAAGAAATACTTTCATATAAAAATTTATAAAAAAATAAAAAATTTTAAAAATATTTGAATAATTTTGAATAATTTATAAAACTTAACAAAAAATATATTAGTAAATAAAAAAAAAATAATAAGTTTTATTTAAATATTAAATTCTTATTTTCTGATTTATTTAAATTTAATTAAAAAAAAAAGATTATTTGAAAATTAAAAAAATTAAAAATAAAAGATTTATAATTCTTCAATATCTTGATTTTTATTAGATAAATCTAAAATTAAATAGTAATAAAATTAGTAAAACATTTTAAAATAAATTAAAATTAACTCTTTCTGCTAATCTTTTTTTACAAATTTGGAAAAAATACAAAATTGACAACAACACAAAAAACAACATAGAAAATACACAAAAGTGTTATAAGAAAAAAAAAGCAGAAAGATAAAATATATAAAAATAGTATAGAAACACAATAGCCAAAAAGAAATGAAAAGCACTAGAATAGAAACTTTGCAAAAAACAAGAAAATTTTCAAAAATTGTAAAATTTTCTGAGATTGCTGTTGATTCTAAAAACAATAAACAGAAATATGTGACTAAAAGCAGAAATAAACAAATACAGATATGTACAAATTTAGTAATAGATAAAACATATAATAACAAACAAAGGTAAACAAACAAATACATACATGTACAAAAATCTATAAAAAGATTTTGTTCATATAAAAAGTACACAAACACAAAATCTGCTTAAATATATTTTTTTTTTGATATTCAACTAGCCTCTTTTGGGCCTAGAGTTTTATTCAGTAAATTGGACATAGGGACTTGTGGCCGAAGCCTCAAAGAAGTCACCTTTACATTAGAGAGTACAAC